ACATCTCTCAGCAAACACACTGGTCCAGTGCTTCCTGATGAGGGGGAAGGGTCGGTCGTGTCCCTCCTCTGGAATTTCCTCCTCTATCCTCTGTTTCTTTGCTTAATTAACGTTAGCCCTTGAAAACAAATTTCAGCTCCTTGAGGAAACTGTCCCTGGTCCCCAGGCTGACCACGCTGCCCTCCCCCTGTGCAGACTGACACTTGATCCCACCCATTGCTGGTTTACTGCTCTCTCTCCCCTCTTTTTCCTTTTTGTTGGGGGGAGGTGCTTAGGTTTATTTATTTAATTTTCTTTTTTTAAATGGAGGTACTGGGGATTGAACCCAGGACCTGGTACGTGCTAAGCATGTGCCCTACCACTTGAGCTATACCCTGCCCCTCCCTTGATGACACATTCATTAAGGGAAGGAACAGTGACATACTGAGCTATAGTCCAGTAATGCATGACATATTGTAGATATTAGATAAATGTTTCTTGAGCCCTAAGAACTTTGGGGAGCCTGTCTTTTTCATTGAGAAGACCCTTAAGAAGATTTTACAAAAATCGATTAAAAAATAAAAAAAAATAGAATTGGAGTTAAGGTAATTCTTGACATAAAATAGGCCAGTAATAAATTATTTGCTACTTAATTATTATTACATCTTCCAAACACCTACTTCTAAATAAGCTGATTCTTAACATCCCATCCTTAACCCTTCCTTGGCCCTCAGCATTCCCACCACTGACTTCAGAGTTTACTCACCTCAGTAGTTCCTCCAGCTCCTCTGCTCTGAGTTGCCCCCTCTACCTAGACTCTGCATCCTCCCAGGCCTCTAGAGGGCCTCCCAGAGCAAAGGAGGGGGTCTGAGAGGGCTGGGGAGGGAGAAGATAATGAATCAGATAGTGCCAACTGATGGTTTCTCAGATACATCATTCAGCCCACAAAGGTAGCCCATAGAGTATTTTAAAACAATGGACTCTCGTCAATATTTTAAAAATATTTATTATTATTTTTAATTGAAGTATAGTCAGTTTATGTGTCAAATTTCTGGTGTACAGCATCATGTTTCAGTCATACACACACACACACACACACGTTCCTTTTCATATTTTTTCATCATAGGTTACTATAAGATATTGGATATAATTGCCTGTGCTATACAGTAGAAACTTGTTTACCTGTCTTATATATAGTAGTCAGTATCTGCAAATCTCAAACTCCCATTTTATCTCTTCCCACCCCTTATCCCCTGCTAACTATGAGTTTGTTTTCTATGTCCGTGAGTCTGTTTCTGTTTTGTAAATAAATTCATTTGTGTCTTTTTTTTTAATTCCACATATAAGTGATATCATATGGTATTTGTCTTTGTCTTTCTGGCTTACTTCACTTCGTATGACATTCTCCAGGTCCATCCATGCTGCAGCAAATGGCATTATTTTATTCTTTTTTATGGCTGAGTAGTATTCCATTGTATAAATATACCACAGCTTCTTTATCCAGTCATCTTTCAACGGACATTTAGGTTGTTTTCACGTTTTATAGTTGGCAATATTTTAAAACTGCAATTTCTAGAAATATCCAGAGTAAGGCCGAGAGTTTTGCATGGTAACAATCGGGTGGAGCAGAAACCCAGCTGGCCCTTTTAGAGCATTTGTGCTCTTGTTCGCCACAGACCCCACCACACTATTACATGCCCACAACAGAGTTTGAGTGTTGGGACTGATCTCACTGCATTCCCAGGTTCCCAAATGTTGCCTTATGGTAACAGGAAAGTGAAGTATTTCTGGTCCCCGGGTCTAAAACTAAAGCACAAAAATAAGCATGACCCAGGAGATCATAGATTTCAAGAAAAATGGGAGTGAATGTATTCCTCTGTGTGAGTGAAGAACTTTATACAAAGTTAATATTTAAGCGCAAGTGTATCTGGTTCAGAAGACTACAATTAAAGTCGCCATTCCAAAACAAGACTGGCTGATGCACTTACTGGTCTTACCTTATCTGCCTAATCCCAGAAGATTTAAGACCTCTGGTCAAAACGGTAGAGCCTCTTGGAACCCAAACAAACCCCAGACCCAGAGGCTCACTGGTGAATGGATTTGGGCCCCATGTTTGTCTGTTTTCAAACTGAGGACAGACCAGACTGACTGGTAGCTTTCAGGGCTGAGTGGAAAGAATATTCTCTGGGGGAGGGTATAGCTCAGTGGTAGAGCACATGTGGTTAGCATGCAGGAGGTCCTGAGTTCAATCCCCAGTACCTCCATTAAAAATAAATATATAAAAACATCTCCCTCAAGACAAATTTTAAAAAGAATACTCTCACTTCTCAGTCAAGCTCCTGGTTACAAGATGCATTAATAGTAGAGGAGGGGAGGCAGGAAGTTCTGGGCTGGACAAACCACAAAATCAAATGTGTTTGGAGAATGTGAATTACATCTGGAATGAGAGAACTCTATCAATAATCAACCAAAAGTAATTATTTTTATTTTCTTAATTTTTTAAAATAATTTCAGGCTAGCAAAAAAGTGGCTGAAAAAAATATTTCCTGTAAACTTGCACCCAGAGTCTGCAGACGTTAGCGTTTTACGTAACAAGGGTACCAAGACTGAAATCATGGAATTAACATTGAGACAATGCTGTTATCTAAGATACAAAATTTATTCAGAATTCACCCCCTGCCTCACTAAGGTGCTTTTTCTGACCCAAGATTCCTCTAGGATTTCACCTTGGCACTCGGCTCCCAGGTCTCCTAAGCCTCTTTGAGTGTGGAACAGTTCCTCAGTGTTTCTCTGTCTTTCATGACCTTGAGACACTTAATAAAATGTCCTTTAATTTTGGTCTGTCTGTTCTTTCCTCACAGCTGAAGTCAGGTTATTCATTTTGGTAAGAAGACCACAGAAGTGATGTTGCCTCCTTATTGACGCGTCAAATCAGGAGGTGCAGGCTATCTGGTGAAGCTGACTTTGTCTGGTGGTGTCGCACAGTTCTCGGCACTGCAGAGTTACTTATGAATTCATCTGTGTTCAGATGAAGACAGCATCTTCTGGGGAGACACTCTGAGATGATGTAAATATCCTTTCCTGACATCCTGCTTTCACTAGTTCTAACATCCACTGATGACTCTTGCCTGAAACTGCTATAATTAATTTTAAACTAGAATAATAACGAAGAGAAATGTGTGATAGGTGAATCGATAAGAAGTTCTTTATAAATGAGAACGTCCCTTGGTCCTCTTTCGGATAGCAGATGCAAGTCACAGGGTGTCCACTTTTTAATTTAAAAAATATTTATTTTTTAATTGAAGTATAGTCGATATACAATGTTGTCTTAGTTTCTGATGCACGGTATGGTGATTCAGTTATACATACATATATATTCCTTGTCATATTCTTTTTCAATATAGGTTATGACAAGATATTGAATATAGTTCCCTGTGCTGTACAGTAGGACCTTGCTGTTTATTTTATATATAGTAGTTTGTATCTGCAAATCTCAAACTCCCAATTTACCCCTCCCCACCCCCTGCCCTACTCTGGTAACCGCAAGTCTGTTTTCTATGTCTGTGGCAAGGGGTCCACTTTGAGTTACTGGTGAGCTCTGGGTCCTCATGGAATGGCCTGGGCTCCCTGGACTCTTGGCAGCGCTGTCTCATAGCTCACTGTTGGTCACATGGCCTCGGGGAAACCATATATCAGACTATGTGAACCCTCAGCGCTACACCCAACACAGGTACCTTCTTCCATGCAAACAGGGCTCCTTCGATTTCTCTGTATCTGTTTGTCTACGCCAGCTGGCACTTGTGGTGTCACTTGGCCAGTTCCTGTAGGCTGGGGTGATGTCTTACCTGTCCACCTTCTCCTCCATTTAACAGATTATATTACCTCCCACAAGGTCAGCTCAGACCTCTCAGCTCAGACCTCTGTTCTGCATGAAGTCTCAGAGGGCAGGGCCTACCTTTTCTTCCTTTGATATTTCTCTGCACTTAAGAATAATGTGTTTTTTGGGGGGGTGGGAGTATAGCTCAGTGGTAGAGCACATGCTTAACATGCACGAGGTCCTGGGTTCATCAATCCCCGGTACGTCCATTAAAAAAAATAAAAGAATAATGTCTGGGTCTCAGTGTTCATTCTATACCTCCTCTGGTGTGAAGGGAGATAAAGAAGGGTAATTCACAGTCCCTCAAGTAGTGGTAAAGATCTTGTAATAACCTATAATGGAAAAGAATATGAAAAAGTATATATATATAAAACTGAATCACTTTGCTATACACTTGAAACTAACATTACATTGTGAATTAACTATATTTCAATAAGAAAAAAAGGCTAAAAACAGAAGTGGTAAAGAGAGGTGCATAAAATTAATGAATTCTAAAGCAAAGGACAGGTTTTATGGAAATCTAGAAGAAATCACAGACAAGATGGCTTTTGAAATGGGCCTTGAAAGATGCAGATTTTGCTCTGCAGGTGAAGGTTGGAGGCTTTCTAGGCTGAGACAAGCTGGTTATGGGCATAAAGTGGTCACGCCTAGAGACATGTGAAAATGCATTTGGGGTTTGAATGGGAGGCACTGCAAAGCAGCTGGGGAAGAGGCTGGAAGCGAGGGTTGTGCCACCTTCTAGTGACTTTTACACTGTGCACAGTGGGATGTGAGCCCAGGACAACAGGACAATAACTCTTGCAGGAAGATGAAGGGTGGACTGGGTAAATATGTCACTGGAGGGATGGACATCCAATCAGGAGTGATCCCAGTAGAAGATGAGCACCTGAATTTGGGCAGCAGTTGGAAAGGTCAACAACCAGGGTACAATCGCCTCTTTGTGATTCTGAAATCTAAGAAGCTGAAAACCCAAAGTTTCTTCTCAAGTTTGCTGAAAATTGATTTGGTAGAAACACCTGACTTAACCTGGTGCAGAGCTATTTATTGTCTTTACCTATCCCACTTCATGGATTAAAAGCTAGCTACAACCCTTTTCTGCTCCTCATCCAGACTCGGTGTCTGTTTTCCCTCTGTCTGAATCTAGGCTGCCCTGATCACCAGCTTTGACCTATAGAATGTGGCGGAAATGATGCTGTACAGCTTTCAAGGCTGGGCCTTAAGGGATCTGCAGCTTCTCCTTTTGCTCATCGTGTTCTGTCCTAGAAGCCTGTTACCATGTAGAGGTCCACCTGCTCTGCATTCGCCAGGCTGTGAGGAAGCCTCACGGAGAGAGGCTGGGGAGAGGAGCACTGAGGTGCCTGAGTGGGAGTGACAGCCGTTCAGACTTCCCAGGCCTGCCCAGCCACCCGCTGAAAGCAGCTGAGTGAGTGACTGCAGCCCACACCACGTGGAGCAGAAGACTCTACCCATCAAGCTCTGCCTAAATACCTGACCCACAGATTCATGAGTAAGTAAGATGGTTGTGATTTTACACCACTGATGTTTGGGAGCATTTATCACATTGCAGGAGAGAACCCAAACACACATTTCTGTCATTCATACATTTTCATTGCAGAAAACTAGTGCATGTGATTAAAGTACCACTCCAGACCTCACAGAGAGTGTTATATCATGTATGGTGTATGTACATTTTACCTATCTAGAATATATGTATATTTTTAATGAAGGCACTGGAGATTGAACCCAGGACCTCGTGCACACCAAGAATGTGCTCTGCCACTGAGCTATACCCCCATTTTACCTTTCTTAAAAAAAATACAAACTGAGTTTTGAAATCCATCTGGTCTCAGGGGTTTTTGAGAAGGGGCTGTCCTTTGTCATACAGAAATAGAGTTGTCTAGACTTCCTTCCTGCCTTCCTGCCTTCGCTCAGTGTCCTGCGTGATGCCACACACTGCTTCTCCAGCCCTGTCACGTGTGTATCTCCTATTTCCGCAGCAGCACTGTCAGTTTCTCTAAACCAGTAGCTCTCAAACTTCAGTGTGTAGCAGAGTCTCCTGGAAGCTAGGAAGTCTCCTAGTTCAAACACAGCTTCCTGGTCCCATGCCCCCATAGTCTTTCTGATTCAGTGGGTCTGGGGTGGGGCCTGAGAACTCACATTGCTGAGAATTCCTAGGTGGTACTGACGCTGCGCGGCCGGGCACCGCACTTTGAGAACCATTGCTCTAGTGGAAAGTGCTATATTTTTAGTTCTATTTACCCAGCAGCCCAAGATGCTTGGCAAATGCTCAAGGATGGAATGTCTCTAAATCGTCATCTTTGTAATGCTTTTGAAGCCTTAAGGTTTACTCCCTGAGGTCCTTGTCGACTGAAATAAATGCGCAGCCTTAAAGTTAAGAGCTATATTTTATTTAGCGGGAGGACTCGAGCCGGGATGATAGCCTCTCAGATGGTTCTGAGGGACTGCTCTGAAGAGGTAGGGGAGGAGCTAGGATATATAGGAGCTTTACAACAAAGACCAGGTAGTTGGAACTATAAAAGATAACTTGTTATCTAAAGAAAACTAGTCATCTCAAGTTAAAGAATTTAGTGCTTTTCTATCTATGGGAGGAAGCAAACATTTGGGCTCATTGAATTCATTCCTTTGACAAGCACCTAGCTATCTAGGGCCAGTATCCTTTCCTTTCTTATTCTGAGTCTGCTCAGAGTGCACCATTGTGAGTGGCTGCAGAGGCTGGGCTGCAGGCCTGTCCCCACGGTGGGGGGAGGGGATGGCGGCAGCCACTGATGACTTGGTGTTAGCATTCTTTGTTTACTGATATGGTTGCAGTATTTTCACTCACATTGCAGTATTTTCGTTCACATCCTTCTAAGTAGGCCCTAGACCTAATAGAAACTAATGCCTTGTTTTGTTTTATTAGATTGTAGTTTTTGCTTTCTTTTCAGCTCAGCTGATAAGGACATCGTGAAAAAAATGTCCCTTGTGACCTTTTTTTCAAACGTGTTTTGGAACAGATAAAAGCGAATGCCTTTGCTGTGACCCCAAAGCAACTCTCAATATGCGAAAAAGGATTATTTTCTTTTCTTTTGGTGGTTTCCGAATGAAATAGAACGTTTCTGGCCATCCTTTCACAAAAGAGGAGAGACAGCCAGGAAGATGCTCTTGTTAGCAAGAGACCCATCTCTGCCTTCTCCAGATGGCACCGCCGAGGCCTAGAGAGGGTGGAGGTCCTCACAGGTGAGAAATGGAAGTGCGGGTGTTGGGGGTTAGGGTTAGGCGGAGCCTGTAACAACCTGCCTCACTGTCTAGAGCTCCCCACCACCCAGGAAAGCACAGGCTGTTCGTCGGAAACTTCGGTTTGCACAACCCACCCCTTTCCAGCTTTCCCCCAACATTTCCTTCCGAGGGTGATTCATCATGACCAGGGACCCCAGATATCTCCCCGCTCCCATCCCCGGCCAGGCGCCGGCACCGAGGCTCCGCGGATCCCCGCGATCAAGCCATTGCGAGCGCCTGGAAGCGCCAAGCCTTCAAAGCCAGAGATTAAGTTGGTTCCTCAAATTGTTCCCGACGGGAGGGGCAGGAAATCACGCCGGGCTTCGGCGGCGGCCGCAGCGGGAGGGGGAGAAGCTCAGTCCGGGCTGTCCTGGCGGCCTCGCATCGACCTCGGGTCTAAGGTCCGGCCGGGTCGTAATTCCAGCCGCTCTTTCGCCCCTTCGAGTCGCCACCCCCAACCCCCGCCTCCGTTCCCGGGGGCCCCGGAGCCCCGAGCCGGCCGCCGCCAGGTGGAAGGAGACAGGTTCGCAGCGGCCCGCCCGCGGGAGGCGGCGCCCGGAGGGGCCGGCGCCGTGCAGCGTGCAGCCGGCGGCCGCGACCC